CAAAATGCATTTATGAACAATAATAAAATGTATAACCTAAAGATCAGCACAAGGCTTCGTCAATAGGTAATCTAATACAAAAAAAGTGAGATTCACGTTAAATATACTTAATGTAAAAAGAAATCCCGCCCTGTATCGTGCCCGGGGCAAAAGTTCCCATTATACTGGCAGCATTGCCTCGCTGGACAGCAATGGACACCTGCTGAACCAACCACGACCCAGAGCGGTGATTGCAGCCCCTGTCTCTGAGTCGGCGACCCAACTCTTTAAATAGGTCCCGAGCTTCCGAACCCCAAGGCCCCGCCGTCTCGACCGCGACCGGTACAAAGTCGTACACAGGCTCCAAGGCAGAATATTTCGCGTGTTTTAGTTTCGCGGCACTTTCCGCCGCGGAACCCGCCATCTGCAAAGTTTGTCTTATGTAGAACGCAGCAAAAGTACTTACGCATGTTGCGTCCCACAGAAGACAACGACCTTTCCGCCAAGGAACCAATGTCAAACCGTCCGGCCTTTTACCGTCTATTCGACTCAGGCCCGGGGGCTCGAGCACGCAAGGGACATTAACACCATCGCCCGTCGCACAATGTCATTAATGGCATGGTGTCTGGGAAAACGACCCGCACACCTTTGGCAGCTCAAACCGTGGTGTCCGTCCTCCCTCACCATAGCCCCACACACACAGCGGTGTGGTTCACAAACCTCGCTTAAAAATGTCGTTCAAGTTGCCAAACGCGGTCCACCCGAGCTGAATTCTTCTGGTGATCTCCTTCATTTGATGTACCTTGATCGGTCTCGGTCTTGATCAGTCTCCTACATCTCACTTCCAACTGTGGCACTTGGATTTGTGATGTTGGAGATGTTCGCCGTAGCACTAGTCTTGGATTATTTTATTGTAATAAGTCAGTCATGATAACCTCAGGATATGCGCCATCAATTCCTCATATCTGCAGATAAATTAGAGAACAGTCCTGTTACATCGCTCCATACAAAGAAAGAAGTTTGTTTCTTTTTTAGATATTGACTAATCGTACTTAACCAAATTTAGGAAACATAATGTCGAAAAGTAATAAATATGGCTGTCAGTTTCCCGTTAAGTCATACATTATTAAAATTACACGACCTCTGAGCCTCATAATTGAGTGGATGTCAAGAAAACTTCGGTCGCTGTGTAATAATTACTAATAATCACTTGATCGATTAATTTCATTGCAGTTACTCTACAATAAAAAAAAATTCGGCCATGTCGCAAATTTTTTTGCTTTATCCGGACAGTCACAGTTACATATGTTACGCGATAACTCCGATGTTTGCGAACCGATTTCGATCATTCTTTTTTGTTGGAAAGAGGGTAACTTAGTAGTAGTCTCATTTGAATTTGAAGAAAGTATTTCACCTCTAAGGGTGCCAAATTAGGGAATGAATCCGGTGTATTGAATTTCACCCACTTTCCGTTAACTGATGTTAATGAAACTTGCCAATTAGGTGCAAATCCACAGTCTTTTGAGGTCTTTTTTTTATAAATAAATTATAATTATTATTAGATTTCGAAAATCTATTAACGACTGGTATCTACACTTCTGCCGTCTTTTTGAATGAACATCAAGTAAAGAAATGCGTGCGGACTGCGACCAATAGAGCAGATTTTTTTATGATACTAAATGATGGGATGAACAAGTCGTGCGCCTGACGGTAAGAGACACGCCTGTCCACAACAGTTGCAGTGCCACTCAGAGCTTTAAATCTCAAAGATCTGAGATGTCCTGCCATTTCGACCGTCACCCTGAGACATTACCTTACCATTACCCTTCTAATCCGGAACGCAGTAAGGCTCAATTACTGCTTGGCGGCAGAAATAGGTAAGGTGGCAGTAGTTCCCTGGAGAAACTCTTTCACAAGGAGCTCTACTGCTACTAAATAAGTTCAAGGAATAAGTCTACAGGCAAGGAATTCCACCTCATAGCCGTTCGCCATATAAATGTGGAAGCGAAACGCTTTATGCGAATCCTTGGAATGTGGTATAGTATATCCCGAACAACTTTTAGTACGGTGAAAAAATAAAAATATAAAAGACTGGTGCGCTTTGATAGAGAATATCATTCCACTGAGTATTGTAGTGTAACATTTATATATCATAGTTAACTAGATATAATTATAACTTTTTTATAAAAAAGACCTACTTCAAAAGTTCGAGAAGTGACATCTATAAGTTTTATTGAAGTCGGTTACCGGAAAGGGCGCAAAACCGTATTCATCCCCTGGTTTGTCACCCTTAGAGACGAAATATTTTCTTCAAATTTATATGTCGTCGTATATCGAGAACTAAATTGCCTTCGTAATAAATTTCTATACAATTTTTATTCAATTAACACAACCAAAGATTTATTAGTCGGAAGCGCAAAAAAGATCTCAAAGATAGAGGCAATCTGTTTATTATGCCTTTTAAAACAATTTATTGGACCTTTTTTTATATTACCCTGCCTAAACTATAGATTAAAATTAATTTTTGATTGGTAGAACGAGAACGCCAAATTACATGTTGAATTTTAATTATAATGTAGCTTTAAATAATTCCCACAGTTAAGTTGTTTGTGACTACACACGCACACAAAAACACACGTATGGAAAAGTATTTACTATCATCTAAACCTTTTGCAAACATCTTATCATATAAAAACCTATAATGCGTTATGTGTCAAGATCATTGACTTACAATTATATGGACGTCGCCGTCGGGTCCGCGCTAAAAGTGTCCGAACTTATAGGGCGTTAAAATCGTATACAGAGCGTCATTCACGCTTTAGTCTTCGTTTGTTCGACTGACAGCGAAGCAAGCAAAATTAGACAGTACTGGGATGACATTACAATTTAAATTCAACGTTTTAGCTTTTTCATATTCCTTTACATGTCACTACGTTTAAATAGGTTGACTTGGGACATTTTTTTCGTGGTTTTTGTATTAGACCCGTCGTTTATTTATTTGTAAGTCAATGGTCAAGATATTTAAATTTTTATGACAAATATTGGATCGTTGATCTCTATGTTGTAAAACTAGTAGTCTAAGTAAATAAACGTAGCCACGGGCTACGTTTATTTAGGTAATATATTTGGGTAATTGATGTATACAATGTATAAAATATTCACAGCACAGAGGGAACCTTCACAAAATTTCCTCGACTATTCTAAATGTATAAACAGTACCACAGTATTATTACAATATTTCTCATCATTTAGTATATAGTCGCAGTAGAGAGTCTTGAGAAAGTAACCTTACCGTTCCGTTCCGTTGCGGTCCGCTTTCGAAGGGTAGGGTGCTGGAGAAATCACAGGCACATGGGACTTGTCAACTTATGTCTCAGGGTGACGGGCGCCGGCCGTGGCAGCTGCTATGGATAGACGTGTCGATTACTACCAAGCATACGTCTTGTTTGTCCCGTCATCGTAACTTGGTATATGGAATAACGTACGATAATGTAATAATAATAATTATAATTTATTTAATAAAGAAAAGCATTGACATTTCAAGGTGCATGAGAACAAAAACATTAGTTGTACAAGAAGGGAAGAAATGCCATTTAAAAGTGATCCCCTAACTCCTAAACTAGGATATCCTGTATCTTAGGAGTTAGCGACTCCTCCAACATTGGGCATCAATTATTGTACTGTACATACATTTTAATTACCTTATAAATAAGTGTGTGTGTG